AATATTAGAATCTCAGTTCTGCACTTTTGCTGATTACTTTCTTAGATTTGTAAAACTTAGAATTACAATTAAAAAATTACCTAATAATGATTATAAAATTTTTTGTTATTAATATATTTCAAATTTTAACTATCTTATGCTGAATTTGCTAATCTAATATATGGGACCTTTGCAATAGAAAAGGGGGAAACGGTTGGAAAAAATAAAAATTGAGTTAATACTAAATCTGAACATATTTTGACCTAAAAATCATATTTGGCATATAAAAGTAAAATTGATTTTTTTTAGCTGTTTCCCCCTTTTCTATTGCAAAAATCCCATATTATATTGTACTTTTCTTATATTTATTTTATACTTATAAATTTAAATTATATTGATTATAATTCTATATATAAATAATCATTAATAATTAAACTGAATATAATATTTTTATTATAAGTTATTTATTAATAATTTAATAATTAATAAAATTATATAGTTATATTTTTAAATTATAAGTTAATAATTTAGTAATAATATAATATATAGAAAATTATTAAATAGAAAATTTAAACGCTTATTTTTTTTTTAAAAAAAATTAATAATAAAGTATTTTATGTAAAATAATATAATTTACATTTAAATAATTATAATATAAATAATAATAAACTTTTATAAATTTATTAATAATAATAAATAAAATTTTTATGAAAATGTGAAAAATAATATTAAAAAAAAGAATTAATATATTAAATAAAAAAATATTATAATTAAGAAGAATTTTTTAATATTAAAATAAATACTATTGAAATTTCATACATTTTATGATTTTTTATTAAGAATAATTTTCTAAAGTTAAAGATTATTTAATTTAATTAGTATTCAAACTTAAAGCTTTGAATTTGATCTAATAGATAGAATAATTTAATAGGTTAACCTAAAAAGTTCAGGTTAGGTCAAGTATGATATTCAACCTAATCTGATCTAAAATTTTTAATTAAAAATTCAAAATTTAATAATTTTGTCAATATTGATCTATTTGAGATAAAATAATTACCATTCGAATCCTTACATAGAGATAAGTCAAATGAGCTATATTTAATTCATTTTGAATTACTAGTTGCCAAGATATAGCTATTTAATTTTACTATATAAAATTTTATAATATGTATTATAGATTTATATATTAATTTAACTAGATTCATGATTATGATCAATCAGAAACTAGCCTTAATATTTGAAATAAACACATTTATTTTATTTAATTTATTAGTATATATATTATATATAGAGTTAAAACTGTTTAGTTTATTATTGTAAAGCTAAGCTGACTAAAATTTTTTTTATTGATTTATTGAGTAATGTCTCAGGATCATTTTTGTAATGAAAAAAAATATAAAGTTTTAATACATTTAAAATAAATAAATAAGATTAAAATTAATTATTTATAAAAATATCTATTTTTTTAATTTTTTTAATTTTTAAATTTAATTGCTGATCTGCTGATCAATCAGATCACCTGATCAAATTTTAATATTAAATCATTGTGTTAATTAATAATAATAAAATGTGCTTTTCACTTGAATCTTTATGTTTAGTCTTTAAATCTATTCAAAATTTTAAAAGACAACTATTATCTCTTGGTATTATTGTTCAAGAATTACATTATAGGCCTTTTGCTATTAGTTGGTAGGCTTTTTTAAAAATAAAAACAGCTCAAAATAAACAAGCATGTATTCCAATATGTGTTAATATAAGAATTAAATTTGAACTTAATTAAAAAAATTTATTATTTGAGTAGTTGATAATAATATGAAGCCTGGTTATGTGTATGAATCAGACACAAAAGTTATAATTTATTCAATATCAAGCGCAGCAATAAATGAAACTTATAAAAAAATTTTTGACGTAAAAACGCATTTTTCTAGACCAAATGTTTTAGACTTTGATACTAAAATAATGATCAAGCAGTTACAAACTGAAGTTTTGTTTTTTTCATTTCAAATTATTACCCAAGGTATTACAATTTTTGTGGCAGCACTTGGTAATTCAGATCAAGTAGAATAGAGTTTTACAGGTCTCAGTTACCGTTCATCATTTTTTCATAAGTATCATGAACAACACTCTTTAATATGTCAATCATTAATAAATACTAAATGCAGAATAGACATATATCATCAAGAAACAAAATTCAAACTTATACTAGAAATTCTCCAAATAATATTTGAACAAAGCCAAATATTTGAAAAATTACATCAGCAAAGATTTATTTGGATTATGCAACTAACTCGTTATATAAGCCATTCAAACTTATGCAAACATATCATATTGTAAAGAATGTGATTGGAATAATATTAAAATAATGATACATACTTTTGAAAAATATCTAAAAAAAGAATATCAGTTGTTGATTTAAACTGATATCTGTTTTTTGCTAAATGGAAACAACAACAAACAACTATTATTGAATTTATCTTTCATCTTACTTCTATATATCTAGCAAATTTTATAATTACCAATACTATATTAGAAGCATAAAGATCAATGATATGATATGTTAGATGTATCAATATAATACCTTATAAAAAAAAGAATCAAATATGAGTTTTAATTTATAGATTATTATATTAGTATTATGCATAAACTAATAACTTATCTTATATAATAGCTTGAATTTTAGATATATGTAGAAGATCCATCAAGTAATCGTACTTCAATACTTTATTTATATACAAAAAATCTTCTAAATGGTATTTCATATAATCTATCAAAGGCAGAAATATTAGTAAAGAATCAGGATCTTCAAAATAAAGTTGATCAGTTTTGATAATTCTATTAAAATAAATAAGCGTGGTTTGAATGGTAAATAGAGAATATTATCAGTAATTACCAATAATTTTGAGTATCATGAAATACAAAAAAATTTGAAAGTGAGTTTAAAGAATCTTTATTAATCCTTAGTAATCAAACTTTACTAAAAATATGCTAAATTTTTAGGTTTTAAATAATTTAGTAAATGTAGCAAGAAAATATTCATGAACTAACAGACCTGGTTATATTGCTATGAGCAAACCTATAGTAACTCAAAGTCAAATATCAGAAGTTAAATATTGGGAATTTAAAGCCTTTTTTGCAGATAAAGATAATGTTTCTATGAGTTCTTATAAAGTTCATGCAAAAACTAATCTTCCAATTCTTTATTTAAAAGACAATAAAGAAGTACTTTAAAAAAAAATATAAGGCAACTTATCCAGATGGGATTAAATGAACATCATTTATGACATGATTGGCAAATAGACAATATATTTATCAAAATGATTTAGGTAGTTTATACAGTATTTGTAATAAATATTTCTATGAAGTTTTTGATATATTAACTAGTCTAATCTGATTAAACATTGCTAATCAAGAAGAAAAAGTAACTATACTTTATATTTTTTTTTGTATATCTTATTTTTAGAAGTAAAATTTTTTATTCTAAATTTATATATTTTTTTATATTTTGCAGAATAAATTAATTACAGAATTAGAAAAATTGCGTATTCATTTAAGAAAAAGTTTCAAAGAAGAACTTATTATAAATCAGAATGGTAAAACAATGCATATAAATATAATCAATCACTGTTTACTTTATGCATTTAGTGAATGTTATAAGCAACATACTAATCAATGTGTTAAATGTGATCAACTATTTGTATTTATTCAACAACTTATAATCAATTTCAAAGAACACTATTCAAATATTAAAAAATGCTAAGATAAATTATATTACTTTTTAACATATCAAATAAGAAAAGTATATCTAAATAGTCAATTTAAAGTTAAATTTGCAAAGTTAGATAATGATAAAGCAATTTTAGTATGTGATTATAAAATGCATATTTTACCTAAGAGTACTTGAGAAACAAAAGAACAATTCTTTGAAAGCGTAGGTGGAGTTTGCATACAATTTTAGTATTTACAAAATGTAATACTGATCAACTTAACATTTAAGCATTTAATCATTAGAGTACTGATACTAAACAAGACACATGGTTTACCATTTTATTATTTGATTCTGTTTTTAAAACTCTTGATCCCAAACCACAATGGATTGAAATATTATCAGATAATAGTGCTCATTACCATAACTCTAAATTGATAACTACTATTGCTAACTGGTATTAATGATATAATATTAAAATTTGTGGTTAATATTTTTTTGAACCTAAAGAAGCCAAAACAAGCATTGACTCCTATCATGCTTAAGTAAGTTTTGAAAAATTTTATATTTTACTAAACTAAATAACCAATATTTAAAAATTTCTTTATTTGTTAAATTGCACATGCCATAAAAAGGTATGTTCATATTAGATATAATTTAAATGAAGAAGAAAAAATATAAGCTGTAATAGTTGATTTAGAAGGAACTTCAGTTGCAAATCTAGAGCCTACACGTGATAATCATAATGTTAAAACAATCACTGGTATCACTCAATTGTTTTATTTTGAATGACCAATTAGTGTAAATATGCTGGATATATACAAGTTTGATACTTACCACATATTGGATCATGGTCACAAGTCTCACCTTTTAAAATATCAAAATTAACTATTATGCCTATAAATAAACCAACACTCAATAATATACCTCATTCAATTCTAAATAATCCATGGAATTTTTCACTATCCTGCGTACAAGGTAGTAATTATAATTGAAAAATATTTTTTATTTTTTGTTTTATGTATATTATATATTATATAATTGTTAGATACAAATAAACAAGTAAAAAATAATGATCAAACTCATTTATTAATAGATATATATAGTATAATAAAATTTTCTAGTTATGATTTGTTGATAATTGTTTTTATTATCTTCAATATAACTGTAGACAAAGGATTTGAATTGAAAAAAGGATGGGCATTAAAAAATAACCAAAAATATGAAAAAAGAGAAGCAGAAAAACGAATGATAATAATAGTGAAAATCTTACCTTGAAAGTTACTTTTTAGCAGGTAATATAAATAAAACAGATCAAATGATAGCAAAGGATATGGTAGAGCAACTTCAAATCCTTGCTAATAAAGGTGAAATTCAAGTTAAAAATGTTCTTAAAATAACAAAAGTCTTAAGTTGGATTACACGGTATGCAGTAAGCCTAAAAAAACATTTGGCAGAGACAATAGTAGAAGGAAGCAGTACTATCAGAGACATCAACAACAACTTTCAAGAAATGATAGAATTCAGTAATAAAAAATTCTGACGTAATTACAAAAAAAGTAAAAAAGCTGTTTGTGGTGATAATAACAGTAAGCAAGTGATAAAATGATGGAAAAAAATAATTTCAAAAAATAAGTATTTTGAAATTTTAGAATCTTACTATTATGTAACCTCTTGAATTTCTATATCTAATATAATAAACTTTTTAATGAAAACATAACTGACACTTTTATTTTTAAATAAAGTTAATTATTTGGTTTTTATGTATCATCTTACAAGTTTTAATAAAATCACATAATAAAAATTTGATCTAATCTATATTAGAGGAATTTGGTGATTTATGTAACATTTATATTAATCGTCCAATTGCATTACTAATTGATATCACTGATTGATTCATAAATTAGCAATTAATTTAATTTTTTATATCATGATTATATTTAAGTTTTATTTTTTTTATTTTTTTTAATAATTTTGTTTTTTAAATTTCATTTTTTTAGTTTTGACTTTGACTTTATTTTTTATATTTATATTTTTTTATTTTTTTAAAATTTCTCCTTTTGATTCAGTCTTTTTTAATTTATATACAGTGGCTTCCAAAAAAAACGCACCACTATACTGCTTATTACTAGTCACATATTTTACGATCAACAATAAATTTGTTTTAAATTAATATTTTTTAAATAAGTAATACAAATGTAGATCTTCAAAATAAATATAGTTAGATTTCTTTTTTGTATTACATAGATTGATCTACATACATTTTTTTTCAAAACCATGGTGCGTTATTTTTGTCATTTGATAAAAAAAATTAAAAACTGAATAAAAAAAATTTTTTTTATTTATTAATAATAAATTTTATAATAAATAAACACTTCCTTTCGCATACTCACATTCCTTTAAAAACTTTTTTATTATATTATTATTTTAAGGTTCAATTAACTTCTGAACAGAGAGCACAAGCAATTATACTGCTTAAAAACAGCTTTGCTTCAAGAGAAATTGCCGCCAAGTTGGTTGTAAAAGCCATACAACCATTTCAAGACTTAAAAAAAAGTATGAAGAGACTGGTAAAGTTGAAAACAAA